GCCACCGGAGGCCCGCCCGGCTAGGGCGCCGCCGGCCCCGCTCCCAGCGTCCACGTGCTCCCTGGGACGCGCAGCTTCCTCAGTCACCTCGCGCAGCTTGGCAGCAGCGCCGCGCAGACGTGGCACCGCGGCACGGCCTCGCGGCACCTGCGGAGCAGCGACGGCGCAGCCCAGCTCTGGCCTGGCCGCCTCCAGGCTGGAGCTGCGCAGTGGCAGTGAACTGGAGACTGCGTCCGGGCAAGCTGCTTGCAGCACCGTCACCTGCGGGCACCAGCGCCCGCCGGCTGGCTGCGCGGGGACAGGGGAGGTGCTGGGCCCTGCTCCGGGATGAGGGCAGGGCTGTGGGAATGCAGCCCAGGACTGGCACCATCTCTGAGTCCTAGCTGCCCCGCTGCCCCTCGGGGTGTCCCCTTCCCACCAGTCAAGCCCCGCTCTGTCCCTGCAGCTTCCCAGGGAGCTTGGACCGAGTCAGGCCGTGCTGTCCAGGAGGGGACAGCCAACTCGGACGCCAGTGGCTCCCCCAGCTCCTCTTCCCCCTTGGCGGCCAGCCAGGAGAGGGCGGCAAGGCCCCAGGCAGCAGCAGTGGGGAGCAACGAGCGCTCGCAGCCGCCTCTCCCGGCGCACAAGCGCATGGAAGCAGCTCCCTCTGCTGCCATGCGCCTGCCGCATGCCGTCCCGCGGCCCGTGCAGGGACGCGGCAGCCGCCGGGGCGTGCGGGCTGGCCCGGCACACGCTGCCTGGGCCTGGGCTCCCGTGGCAGGCACCAGCCTGGCCCATGAGGGGTAGGCGCTGGCAGGGCCTCTCTGGCAAGGGGCAGGGATGTGGGGGCAGCGGGTCCCAGCGCCCGGGCTCCTGTTGAGGCATATGGGCAGTGCCCTGGGAGTCTATCGCTGTAAATGTTCATTATTAAATTATACGCCCTGGAGAGGGGCTTTCCAGCATCTGAAGTGGGGGGCCAGCAGGGCCCATGGGACCCTGGGGCAGAGGAGCGCTCGCTGCGGCCCCTGCTCTTCGTGGGGTGGGAAAGGGCTGCAGCTCAGGTGTTAATATTTCCTTCCAGAATAGAGATTTTATTTCAAGCGTGAGCAGCTAGGGCCTGCTGATAGCCACGAGCTGCCATGCCGGGAGATGGTATTTGAGATGTAATAAAGTTGGGCTGTCACCCTGGCTGGCCTCTTCTTGTGCGCGGCAGCAGGGTGGTTCGGGCTGCGAGTGGGGGCAGGGTCGGGCCGGGCCG